TAGCCAAACAAGTTGTCGGTAAAAGAAAGAACTTGTCGGTAAAGTGTACCTGTCGGCAAAGTGTACGGGACCATTGCATTTCAGTATATGATTGGAGTAAAGAAAATATTAATAAAAAATCTATTGTAAAAAATTAATAGAGAAAGTTTTGTTTTAATTAATTTGAATAAATTTTTAATTTTTCCAATCACGATTAAAACCAATACGATCAGTAGCACTGCGAAGACCATTATAAGGAAGACTATCAAAATGATCAACATCATCATTACTATCACTTAAAGAATCACCACTTTCTCCTTGTTTTCCAGGTCCTGAAATAGATATTTCAATTTTACTAACAAGTAACATTCATCGCAACTCGATTCACTTAACCCTAGACTGTCGCGATCTGTATGCGAATATGACTGTATTTAGATGTGAATGAGAGTTGATCAGTATCAGTTTCGACTTTCAGTAAGAAATCAAACTGAATTACTACTTTTCATAAAATCACGCATTTTCTAAAAGTTTGATATTTGATGAGTGTGTAATAAAAATTTGATATTTGATAAATGAATAATAAAGTCTGATACTTGATGAGTGTGTAATAGAAATTTGATATTTAATGAGTATGTAATAAAAATTTGATATTTGATGAGTGTGTAATAAAAATTTGATACTTGATGGATGTGTAATAAAAATTTGATATTTGATGAGTGTGTAATAAAGTTTAAAAATGCTTAAGCTTTACTAAATTCAATTTTATAAAAACTAGAATTGGAAAACAATTCACAGTGTAGATCTCTATCGTTATATCAATCAAAATTGAAGTTAAACTCTTTTATCTATATGCACTATAACAAGACAACTAAGCTGACAAGTTTACTTAAGATATTTTACAATAATGCGACTGGTAAATTTTAAAATGATTAAATTACAATGCATAATTTTGAAGCTTCTGATGCTGGGCGTTACTTTTCTGACTTGTGGTACAAGATGTTTGAACACATCGTCCTTCTTTTTATACATGCATTAAAAATATTTCTCGATGATGACGAACGACATGCTATATAAAAATAGCCGAACATTTTTCTCAAAGCTTTATAATACTCTGAGTACGCGAACGTTCCGTTTTTTGTTATTAATATTATTTTCATCTTCCTCCATATTAAAAGTAAAATTGGCGTTATCTCATTATTTTAATTTATTCAGTAAAATAATGATCTATATATAATTCAGAAATATTTCAAATATTTAAACTCGCGCCCTTTTTATCAAATAAATTAAGTATTATATATTAAATATTATACTATTCAAATAAAACAATAATAGAAAATAAAAATTATATTATCAAAAATATACCATAGTTGCAAGGTTATTGGCGCAAAAAAATGATCGTTTGTACCAAAAAATAAAATGGTCAAATGTGCCATGTTATCGACAAAAATAATATATGTAAACAGATTAATTCCCGTTTCTAGACTTTATCTTTTCAGTCTAGGGAATTAAACTTTTTGTCTATGCTTCCTTCAATTTATTTCAGTGTTATAGATGTCACGTCTGTGTTTTTTATCATAATTAAGTGGATTAATTCAAAACAAAATGGTGAATGACCTTTCGTACTATGAAATGAAAAATACTATATAATATGAATTTAGAATGGTACGTCATCATGTTGAAATAGTTAATAGTATTATAAATAATAGAGAATTTAGTAGATTTGTGTCTATATATTTTGAAACAATAAGTGTTGCTGAAAGAAAAGGCTAGTTTCCAAAATATAAACAGTTGGTAGTCAAATAAGTGTGGATTTGGGTGTGAATGTGGGTCTGAGTGCAATAAATAAGATACACCAACGCACACATCCAAACCCACATCTACATCCATCCACACACCCACACTCATCCTTCGTGAAGGGTGGTACGAAAAATCATTCACTCCGCTTCTTATGCTGTGTGATGATCGTGTTCCCGAAATTAGATAAAATTGATTCCGAGCCGCAGTTGATTTTGTAATATTCGACATTTCGGTATAGGGTGACTGCTCTTACATCCTCACGCTCATCCACTTCCCTACCGTCTAGATGGATTCTTGAGACTCTTCAGGATCGATCGAGGATTCATTTTTTCCCCTAGGTAAAAAAGTTTTATCTTGAAAGAAAACTTCATCTTCTTACTCTGTGATTATCTAAGATCTATAAAGTTAAGCAAGAGCATAGATGAAACTATCTTATGCAGAAAATTATTCATCCAGTAGAAATCTTTTTCACAAAAATGAACAAAAAGACATTGATCAATGTCTTTTATGTTTTAATAACATAGATTTAATAGAGATCAACATTTTTTGTTAAAAAAACAAGCTTTGCTATATTATAGAAAAGGTGGAAAAGATAAATAATCTGAAAATGGTCGCACGGATTCTGAATGAAGTATATAAAACAAAATACAACAACAAATTCTCATGCGCAATTGATGACGTGCTTTCATATGTTTAGATAAATAATATATATAAATGATCGATGAAAAAAAATTATTTTAAAGAGGCATTACAATAACACGCTCATGAGATTAATCATCAATCGTGTTTTGTTTTTTTTTATTTCTTTAAGATTGGCTTCTATTTTCGAGTCATTTCATATAAATATAGAAGAAAATCGGCCTGACTAAAAGCTCTTTGAGGGTGGGCCTGGGTGTAAGTCTGAATATCTGGTATACATGAAAATCATATCAACACCCACACCCGCATCTTTCCTTCGTTGAAATGCATCCTATCCTATATGTGAAGTCATGAGAGTTAAGGAAAAAAGTGAGAGAGAATGCCTTTATTGAATAGAATAAATATTGACATATAAAGTGATGGATGTTAGGAAGAAAATAAAAGGATAAGTTTTCCTTCAGTTTTAATATATATGTAGACACACATCTCTGTCAGTGAGGAAAAAATAAAGAAGGCAAATACTTTTTCAGATTTTCTTACTTAAATGCTCGTATATTATCTTGAAGGTTTTTATATTGATCGTCATTTTCTTTGATTTTTACATCATTTGTTGTTTTCGTTTGTGTTTACGAAAGATCATTAATTACAGCGATGTATTTGCATTATTATCATATAAATTGAGGGCGTTTTCTTTTTTTCTTAAAGGCATTATATAATCTTTATTGTTTCAGATAGTTTCTATGTAATATAAAAGTAATTGTATTTTATAAGAGAGGAGTTCTATACAGTGAAAGTTATTTTATATCATCTTTTTTCGAATTCTTTTTTAGATTTAACTTCACAACATTGCAACATTTTAACGAAGGTTTACGAATGGAGAAACAAAACAGCATACGTGTTTGTGATATAATTTATTATAGGAGAAACGAAAAATAACTCGTTTTTTTTACCTTGTAGCCTCAGTCAGCTAACATCGATACAGGTGAAACACAACCTATACAACCGACAAGATCGTACGTGTATTGTGAGCTTTAGTAAATGAAAAATGTTGTTTTTATTTTAGACGTGGATGTATTCGAAGTAAATTGACGTGGGTAATATTCACTATTGTGATAATAGCGGGCATTACTATTCCGACAGCTATTATTCTGACGAAAAAGGAAAACGTTGTTGAAACAAATTTAACAACAATAAAGAGGACAACAGGAAAAGGGTCAACAACATTGATGTTAACAACAACAACAAAAATCCCATCAACAAAAATCACAGAATCATCAACAACAACAAAAATCCCATCAACAACAACAACAGCAGAACAAGGATCAACAACAACAGAAGCAGGTATGTCTGTGTTCGAAGAGAGATAAAAAAAAGTTGATCAATTACTTATCATAACTTATAACAGGCTATTTAATGAGAGAACATCAATCATATATTGTTAGTTGATTATTACTTGTCTAACCTAATTGAAATTCCAGATATTACATTATCTTTATTATTCTTTAAACGAAGGAATGAATATAAAAATCCTTTATCTTTCCTGTAATAACTTTTGCATTTTAATCTGGTTTTTCGGCAGCGCGAACTGAATAAATAAGAGACGTTTGTAAACTTTTCTCTATTTTTAAATTTTTTCATTTACTTTGTAGGTCTTATCTCACTCGATAGTACTGGTGGAGTTGTCTATGGCATATATCAGACGAGTATAGGTCAGAATAGTCAAGAATTAAAACCCGGTTGCATTGTTGGTACTTATCCTGAAGGCGAATCGCCAGCCAAAGCATGCGACGGTGATACTTCCACAAAGTACTTAACCTTTGGAGAGTGTAATGAGGGTGAAACTAACATTAAATGTGGTTTGAATACTGGCTTTTATCTGGAGTTGGAGCGAGGTGCATCATTAGTTACAGGATTGCAAATCTGCACAGGTGGAGATTCTCCATCACGCGATCCACTTACAGTATCATTGGAAGGAAGTAATCAGTCTGGATCGAATCTTACTCTCGGTTCGAGCTGGATTTTGATCTACAATGGGTCTAGTGGTCTTGAAACAGAACCTAAAAGACGCACCTGTGGAGTTGTGCAACAGTTCAACCATACAATTCAGTATAAAAGTTATCGTTTTCTTGTTTCGAGCAAGCGGGGCCCTGATAGCTGTGTTCAGTATTCTGAATTAAAGCTATTTGAATACTGATCTTTGGCTCTACAATGATGTTCAGCCATGATACATTTTCTGCTTTCATTCATTCTCTTATATTATACACATATTCTTGAGTCATACGTATATGATCAAATCTTTTTGTTTCTCCTTGATCCGCACAGTATATATATATATACTTTGAGCTTTTTATGCTTATTCATTCTGCTTTTGTTTTCTGTCCATTCAAATTCATTCGAAATAAACGAATAATCTTTACAGACTTGATTTCATTCTATAAATTTATATAAAAATTCAAATCAAAGATCTTTAAGGGTAGATGTTGATGATGAATGCGAAGAATATCCGCACTCATCCACATTCGGATATATATATATACCATCACTCTCATCGGCAATCTTATCCTAATATGTTGAAGAAGAAATAGAATACGATAGAAGAAAAACATCAGGCTTTCATTAATACGAATGAACACATGATTACTAAATTTTGCAACGAAAAATCCAAGTAGCTGCTTTAGCATCTTGAGGATAAGGATGTGGGTATTGATGTCTCTTTTTAATTCACACCTACACTGACAGCTAACCACACCCACATCCTTCCTTTTTAAAGAAATATTGTTATACATTAGCATGATCCAACAACTAAGTCAAAAGTTATTTTAATAAAAAAAAGGTCTTAAAACTATAACAACATTATTACAATATATTGATTCAGATCAATTCCCAGTTGAATATGGAGAAAATTGTCAATCATATTTACATGCTTCACATTGTATTTTAGTATATGATTGGAGTAAAGAAAATATTAATGAAAAATCTATTGTAAAAAATTAATAGAGAAAGTTTTGTTTTTATTAATTCGAGTAAATTTTTTAATTTTTCCAATCAAGAGTAAATCCAATACGACCAATATCACTGTGAAGACCATTATAGAGAGAATTATCAAAATGATCAACATCATCATTACTATCACTTGAAGAATCATCACTTGTTCGTTGTTTTTCAGGTCCTAAAACAAATATCTCAATTTTACTAATAATTTATAGAGAGAAAATAAAAAAGAAAATGATCGAATACCTATAGGTAAATTCGATTAAATTATAAATAGACATTGCCAAATTGTTCAGCTTTATTTCTATTTCTACTACATGAAGTAAATGCTGGAAATGAATGTATTGGTTTACTTTTATCTTTTAATAAACAATCATCTTTAAATGAAAATAAGCATCACGATATAAAGTTGTTCCTCGTTTAGTTGTTTTATTATTTGATGGATTATCCCATAAAAGTAAATAAAATGGATCTAATGTTGATATTTTACTTCTCCAATTTTTTATATAAAAAAACTTTCTAATAAATAAAGATAAGCACAACATTCCCATATTTCTTTAGTTGTTTTTCATTTAATATTTTCCAATTATTTTTCCTTCTTTAATTATACCATTTTAACTATTTCTTTAATAAAAGGAACAAATCAATCATAAAAATCTGTAAAAACTCGTTTTAGATTAACAAGAGTGAAAGCAAATCTTTCTTGTTGTAAATTATTCTTTTTATTGGACGTTGTTTATTACTATTGATATTAAAAATTTGAATATTATTTTTAAATCAATACTATAGTCATCTAATATACCATGATTTTTATTTGTTTGATATGCATTTTCAATAATTAAATTTTTCACATCAGAATAACATTTCCATTCTGCTGATTCACTCATGTTTAAAAATGGATCGTTACCCGTATCCATCGAGCTCGTGGTAATGACTGGTTTGATATGGATATTAATGAAGATAAATTTCTTTTTTGTAAAATTAATTATATATAGATTAGAGAGAAATGTAAGATATTATTTATGAGTTGAATTAAATTATTTATCCAACATTTTATTCTCATTTAGCAATAAAAATCTCTAATAATTAGAATATTAATACTTATTTATAGAATACTAAATAAATACCTTACATTTTATATTTAATACAAATAACGTGATATATCGATAGTTAAAAAAGAAAAAGAAATAATATTTCTATATCATAATAAAAATGCTTTTTCTCTTATTTAATGAAGCATATCTTTAATACATAGATACTATTTTATAACTCACGTATTTTTTTCAAACATTCATATTTTTGTTATTGCATCGTGCTTAGAGTAATTTACATAAAATCGACTTTTCTCACTTAAATTGTAGATGAAACTATGATTAAACTGGAAATGATATGGAGTATCCTCATTCGAACTGAGAACAGGACGGGGCAGGATTTTTGAAAAATTTTTCTGAATTAAAGTCTATATTAAACTTTTTGTCTATGCTTCCTTCAATTTACGTCACGTTTGTGTTTTTAATCATAATCAAGTGGATCAATTCAAAGAAAAATGGGTGTAGATGTAAGATGTACATGTGATTATTTCTCTCACATCCATACCAACCCATTATAATTAGATCAAACTGTTTTCTATCAACTCCCAAAAGAATTTTCTAAGTTTTCTTTACCAAAAAAATAGTAATACCTTGGACGAACTTGTGAATGTGAGAGACAAATAAATACTCACAATCTCACTCACACTCATCATCTATATAGATTAGATTTATGAAAGATGTTTACAAAAACGAAGAACTACCTAAGAAAAATCGATGCACAGAATACTCTATGTAATAGAAAAGTACCATCAACATTAACATTTCCTACTGCATCAAAAAGTCAATTTGATTTAGAACCAGTTTTTATCAATTCTAAAGGTTTATTTTTGTTCATTTTTTTTCAACACAAGAGAAACATGATGTCATAGTAATTGTTTAATGAACTAAAATCGATGATTTGAAGATCTAAATGACTGAAAAAGAAAAAAAATATTCGTACAAAAATGTCCATTGATATATGATAATAAATTATTTGATTTGCATTTTATTTTATTCATAATAATCAAAAGATTCAGAGTCAGCCTAAGGAAAAAAGGGACATTCATTCGATTCCACACCACACGTACATTCTGACTTGATATTTAAATACAGACACAATTACATTCAAAAAACGATTCAGAAAATAAGCAAACAGAAAAAAAGAGACGTCTTTTGATAATTAATATGCACTATCAGTCAGTGAAATATTTTTAATCGGAAAATCGTCCTGTCATCTCAAATTCTGAGTAAGCGACACAATACTCTCTACCTCTTTTTGAAGTGATGAGAATACGATAGCTTTCAAATGACAACGAATTATTGGTTATTGTTTGATTATTACCATACTTTTGTCTTCCTGGATCTTTAGTCGCGAGACCTGAAGCACCATTATAAATCTTAATCCAACTTTTTCCAAAAATTAAATCCGACTCTTCAATGTTGCTACCTTCAATTGTAATTTGGGTTGGATCTCTAGATCCAGAATTTTTGCTTGTAGCTATACGAAACTTCACGAGAATAAACGGTTTACTTTTGAATGTTATATAGAAACCAGTTTGTATTCCGCATCCATCTTGTAGTGGACCAGATGCATTACAGAGCCCATAATTGCAATATTCTGAACTTAAATTACCATCTAATGCAGCTTCAGGTGCTTGGCTAGGCCAATATGTACCTGTTTTGTCGCCGGGTGAAGATCGTGAGCTGTCACGACCTAATGTTGTACTCCATATAGGATAGACGACTTCGTTTGTTCGTTGAAATATTTGTAAAACTAAATAAAATCACAAAAAGAACGAAAACTTAGACTAAAGTAGAATATAAAACTTTCTCACCAAATGGTTTGGTAGTTGATGTCGTTACTGTTGTAGTTGTTGATGTCGTTGATGATGTGGTTGATGATGTCGTTGATGATGTAGTTGATGATAGGGTTGCCAAAGACACTGATGTTGTTGGATTGTTTTCTTTTGTAATTAATGATGTTATGTCAGTTGGTACTGTTGTTGTTGTGAACGATACAGTTGTATTCATCATAGATTCAGTTGTCGTATTTGTTTTTCGTCTTAATCTAATTATTGTTGGAGTCAAACCTGCTGCAATAATTAATAAGGCCACACTAGTTTTGATTATCGTACATAATCGTCGTTTTTTATTGACAACTGGAATTCTAAAGTATTTTAATAATTTGTGATATATATTTACTTCAACTAATACAATTAACATACTGTATATTTGATGATGTGATATCAATTGCTGTTGCCATTAATCCCAATTGACGATGAATTCTCCTTTTTTCTGATTGTTGATTGTTGATTGTCACTTGTTCACTTTTATAGTTACTGATACTAAATAGGAAAAAGAAAATCTTTGATATAACATTTTTTTTCAGTCAGCTGTAAATATAAAGGATTTATTTAATAAAACCATATGTTTCTAAGTTTTGTCTACATTAACAGGACAAAAAGAGGTGTTTGTGATAATTATAGAAAATATTTTTTGTAATATCTCAAACTATCACTCGATGAAATATATAAATAATTTTTAATTTAAATACATCATTTATATGTAATTGTTTATGATTCCTTTCATACATATACATTAATTTCGTGTTCATCATATAACTTCAATTAGATACTGAACGAATTAGATTCTTTATAATCATTTCAGCAATCTTCTCATATGGAAATATTTTGACTCTAAACGCGTTTATATTATTTTCAGGAAAGAAAACATCCTGTTTGGACAGGCTGAAGCTGCGTCATCATCATGATCATCTCTCGCATGAGGCATCATGTAGGGTAATTATGTGATGAGTGAGACTAGAGCATAAGACATTTGATTATAAGTCTACTTACTGAAACTAATGAACCACAGTGACTTTTCTATCTTTATTTGAAGATGATAAATTTATATATTGATAAAGAAAAACATTTCAATATGTTAGTAGAAACTATTTTTTCTAAAAAAAGTAGAATATCAATATTGGTTATTAATAATTATATTTTTTTAATTTTGCTTCATCTAACACAGCTTTTAACATTGTTTTTCCCCTTTATTTTGTCATTCAAATTTGATTTTTTCACATGAAAAAACTTTTAGCATTTTGTATATTACATTAAATTGAAAGATTTTCAAAATCTCTCGTTCTTCAATAATTATTTACTCAGACTGTGCTTTTTCTATTGATCTTAAAACGCATTTTAAACGTCTGGGATCATTTGGATGTAATTATTGATTGAAACCCAGCAAACCGCGTTACCAAATCTTCTAAATGAGAAACGTTTGTATCTTAGACGCGTTTAGATTGTGTTTCAGTTTTACATATTTTGTTTTATTGTTGACGTCATTGATTAAAACACAAAGTAATATTAATTGTAACATATGGAATAGTTTATATCAAGAAAAGAATAATATTTCCATGCTAATTATAAATTATACTTATGGATAATTGTTTTCTCTCTTTTTGCATAGTTCTCACATACAACTTTTTGATCATTATAAAGAAAAACTGAATTAATTAATTGAGTACAAATAACAAGGATTGATTCGTGTTCATGATTTTTATTTTTAATATTTTCAGAGAGTGTGTGGGTGAGTTTAAAAAGATACACTCACATTCACACCCTCAAGATGCCGTTAACACCGATATTTATTATAAAATCATTCTTAAAATAAATCTATTTTCTCGCAAAAATAATCGAAATCAAAAATCGTCTTTTTAAAAACTCATTAGTTTATAATTCTGAAGTAAATGGTGGAATTGAATCACATGCATGTGGTTGATCCTCACGAGATGTTTTGAAACCACAAATAAGTGATCGTCGACATGCATGACTACATTGAGAACCATCAGCAATTGATTTTGTATAATGTTTATAAACTGTACTCATCAATGGTCCATCAATATCACTTTCAAGTTTTTTAATAAAATTATCCCAATCGGCAGGAAATAAATTGTCCATGTGATAAGCATCTCGAGCAGTATATTCATTTAGTAAAATTGTTCGATTGTATAAATTGGTTGCAGTTAAATTCATAATGACAGTACGATGATCAAGTACCCAATAAGAACTTTGTGGATATTCACCATCAAGTGTATAGATACGATAACCAGGATTTAAAAATGATTCAGTTGTTAATGATGGTGCTATGTACGCCTATAAATTTAAAGTTTTAAAGAAAAATAAAATGCTTGCTTAGGATAGAATTGTACTCACCATTGAAATAGGTCGTTGATGATCATTTTCATCATACCACATATTGAATTCATCTTTATGAGTATGACCATAAAATTGTCCAGAAATCGTATTTTCGAATCTATTCGATGTATAAATGTCAGTACAAGTTCATCGGGTATGCAGAGTAAATCTTACCGATTCACAACTCGATCAAAATTCCAACCAAATGCTGCAAAACATTCTTTTGGTGGATGATGAGCGATAATATGAACTTTTTCTCCATGATTTTCTGCATATTGTAACCATTGTATTAACTAGAGTACAGAAATAATTTTTAGTTGTCTGTTGCCGAAAAAATTACCCATTCGACTTGATTGAGTGGATCCGTTGAATTAATAAATAACCAATAATTATCATGATGATAATAATTCGTATTGAGTGAAATCATTCGTAAACCAGGACGTATGACTGTCGTATAGAAACCACCACGAAGAATTGTTTCACGTGTATCATTAGGTAAACCAAATGTATTTATCCAACTATCAGCTAATACTTCATATAACCATGAAATATTATCTGTTTTAATAACGGGTGTTGGAAAAAGATTACATGGAGCTATTGATAACATAGAAAATGAAATGATTGAAGGAGAAAAAGAAAAGTTTATACCTGCTTCATGATTACCAACAGCGGCGTAAACTGTTTTATTAGGAAATGTTCTAGCTACTAAACTATTAATTGTATGTATTGAATAGAGTTGATCAGCACGAGATTGATTCCATACATTATGAGGTGGTGTATCACCAGTATAATAGATAAAATCAATCTGTGTATTAGAATAGAAAAGAATAAAAAAATATCAAGAGATAATGTTTATAACTTCTTCTGTTCTTGCAGCATATTCAATGATGGCTTGAGCAGTCCAAATTGGTATATCACAATGAAGACTTGTTCCCCTAAAACGATAATTATTCGATACTATATATGTCACGGAATTAGATTCAAAAGACAAACCA